AAATGAAGCCGCAATTATTTTAATCGCGGCTTCATTTCCCTCTTCCGATGTGGCTAATCTACATGCCTCCGTCGAAGGAGGCATGGAGTCTGGACACAGCCTAGGACATTTATTACATGCACATTCTAATCCTAACTGTTGTTCTAATCATATCTTTCACAAGTTAAGCAGCTTCCTAGCTTGGGCCCAATCCTTCCCCTTGTTCGTTCTGAGAGGTTTCCTGATAAGTGGGGGTCTCCTAGTGTTTGACAACTCCCCCATTGTTTGGTTTCCCACTTTATATTCCTTTTGCCCAAGGTGGGAATTCTTTGTGTTCACTTTAAACTTTTTTCACCTTGAGTGGAAAAGTGCAAGATCCAAAATGGATACCAGCAGCAAGTGGCCTGGCCACATGTCTTTGTACTACCAACCACAGTTTGGGCTTACAGGAAAAAACAAACATATTTAAGGTGCATCTGCACAGTAGGGCTTAACTTGAAATAAGCTATGCAAATTGAGCTACATCAATTGCATAGCTTATTTCAAAAAAGCTTATTTCAAAACAAGAATGATACATGCACAGAAATAGGATATACATAATCAGTAGACTGTATTTTAAAAAATAGATCACATGATACAGTTTGTTTAAGATACATTTGAGTTATGCATAATTATATTCATAAGCATGGGGGTGACACTGATGTTCATTTTTTTCATTCTGATTAATGATTCACCTTAGCTAGAGATACTGACCTCAGCCATCATTTCCCCATTCCCCTGCAACTTCTTTATTCGTGATTCTTAAGACAATCATTTGCAACTCACTGGGCAGCTAGAGACAACTGAAGTTAAGATACAAATTACAGTTGCTCCTTTCTTGGGTCTATATCTGATCACAATTATATAATAACACATGTTTCTAAAAGTACCTTGTTTACTTCATGCAGGGTGGGTCTTTGAAAGCACCTAGGGTAGTTAGGAACACAATTCTCATCGGCTTTAGTCAATTGCCATTGACGACTCCCCTGAAAAATCCCTGCAGTGGACTTTAAGATGCTGCTGCTACAAGGAGAAAAATTACTTTTCCCTAGTTATTTTGTTTATAGTTTAATATTGTTGCTTACGATTGTACTAAAGCAGGTCATTCTTATCAAAGTTTGGAACTTGGATTGGCAATCAGACTGCTTTAGCCATAAGGGTTCTGCTCACACAGCCAAATCAAATATAGTCTTCCATCTTTATCCCTGATTTGCCTTAAAAAAAATCAACCTTATTATAACAGCTATGTTTCCCCTGGGCCTACTCAGCAAACATTCCTCAACAGCTAAGAGAATAGGCTGCAAAATGGGTTCAGAATTCCATCTTGGAAGTAGGGAAAAGAAATCCTAATTTCTTATTTTATTTGTCAGATAACTGAGATTAAATGTAGGCAGAGCAGGTAGTAATGTCTACAGGGCTTGATATAATTTCTGTTGACTTTGTGAGCATTGAATCAGGTCCACTCTTGGATCTGACATGTGGTTAAAGTGGAACCAACATTTCCATTCTAAGGGATAACTTTCAATTGTTTCTAATATTTTCAATCTTTTTCTTTCCTTGCTGAAATCCATTAGGTTTGTTCTTGATCTGGGAGAGAATGTTTTCTGGAATGTTAGAGTCAAAAAGGTTCAGTCATTTTCATGAACAAATTGCATTGTTCCAGGTTTAGGTTTTTTGCATCAGTCAATGACAGCTGGGCCAATTATCCTGGATACTAAGTTTATGTTCCATATTAGTGTCATAAAAGTAATTGTGATGTCATGCATTTGTGCAGCACCACCACTGAAGCCTGAATTCAGAGTGGCTGTAATGTCAGCACAAACAGCTTCACAACAGGCATCAAAAGGAGAGAGACTGTGATGCACGTTGAACTTCCCGCCACTTTGCATAAATATCTTTGATGATTAGCAAAAAAAGGAATAGACAAACAAACAATGCATGGAAAGTAAATGGATGAAGAGGGTGTGATTTCCAAACACACAGTCAGACTAGTGAAGTCAATGGCAAAACTCCCCTAAGCTTTGGCGGAAGCAGAGGTAGGCCAACTCTGAGGGATTTTTTTTGTATTTATATACGCCAGATTTTTGTTAATTTTTCTTCCTGTATGAAAATCTCCACATTATAGAATTTGAATGAAAGCTGAACAAAAAGATCTTTGCCAATCCAGCTAACACCACAAAGAATAAGCTGACCATGATAAGCATGAATGATTCAGTCACTGGCATGCTTCATTAAGTTTATAAACTCCAACCGGCTGGAGATAACCAGTGGCCCACTAATACCACACATTGTATCTGCTGTACAAACATGACTTGCAAATAGAAGCAATTTTAGCCTCAAGGGCAACATTAAACTACCAAAATATTGTTCAATTTATTATTTTTTAAAGAAAACTGTTGTGTGCTATCTGGAAAGTGATATGAAACATTAAAGTTGGTCTGTTTTTACATGCTAATTTTGCTGAGTTCAGCCAGTCAGAGACTTCTGAAAATACAGGGAATCATTTTAATGTGTACAGTCATTGGCATATTCAGGCTAACTTATAAAATGCTATTACCTATGTGTAACAGTTTAGTTAAGTTAGATATACATTACTTTTTTCATGGGCTAAATTCAGCTTTCATTCAAGTAGGGTACTGCATCTATTTACTTTAGAGGATTTTGTAACTATACCACAGCTTAATGTGCCTCCTGTTTATGAGCTAACAAACACTGAATTGTACACTCTGGAAGTAGGCTTTGCGCAGGTGAGTGTCAGTAGGAGTTAGAAGATAGAATCCTGTTCCCCCAGGCTGTGGACCACCAGTAGAACCAGTGGGTCCTACTGAAGAACATGAGCTACAGTATCCTTTGTGGGCAAAGCATACACCCTTACACATTGCAGGGAAAGGGGCTGGGTGATCGATCCACATACTCACAGGATTATTAGTCAGGCCCTGACTTATCTGTTTTTAACTCTGCTCATGTTGAGAAGGTGAGGTGGGCAGAAGCCCCTTATTTATAGCTGCTTGGGAATATTCTGGTGAAACAGTTCGTCCTGAAATGTTTCATGGGAACATCATGGCTACGTCTACACTGGCGCTCTTGTTGCACAAATACTTTTAACACAAGAGTTTTTGCGTTAAAGTATTTGTGCAAGAGAGCACATCTATATTGGTCTGGGAAACATCGTCAGAACGATGCACGTTTGCACAAAAGAGCGTTTACATTGGCGGGACATTCTTGCGCAAAAGCAGAAGCCCGGAACCATTTTGAAAAGGGCAAAAGGGCACCGGCCCTTTCCGGGGGCAGGAGCTCCTTTGAGACACATGCTTAAAGGGCTCTCCCCGGACAGCCGTTTCTCTCCTGCTGTGTGCTTTAGGACCTCTTGCAGGGACTGACAGCTGTAGCAGTTTTTGTGGTTGCCCTCTGCCTTTTTGGACACCACTGCCTTCTGCCTTAGTGCCTTTGGCTGATTTTTTTTTTCATCCTACGCTCCTTTCTTGCGCCATGGAGCCAGGGGTGGCCTTGTGCCTGCTCTTGCCCCTTCCAGCCATGTTGGAGTGGCTGAGCTGCTGCTCCAGGATCTCGAGGTGCAGGTCGCGCTGGACTCCCTTGCCAGGGAGGCCATGGCATCCTGCGGCATCCACACCCCACTGTGGAGAAGGCCTTCTGGAGACTGGACACCAGTACCGACTGGTGGGACTGGCTGGTCCTGGGGCAATGGGATGACCAGCAATGGCTCCAGAACTTTCGCATGCGAAAGCGGATGTTCCTGGAGCTATGTGCTTGGCTCGCCCCTGCACTCCAGAGAACCACCACCCGGCTGCGGGAACCCATCCCCGTTGACAAGAGGGTCGCCATCGCGTTATGGAAGCTGGCTACCCCAGACAGCTACCGATCAGTGGCACACAAGTTCGGGGTGGGCAAATCCACCGTTGGAGCCATCGTTATGCAGGTAAGTTCCAGGAGGAGTGGGGGGGAGGGAGAAGGGGGAGAGTGCTGCACTCCATGCCCAGGAGCAGGCAAGATTCCAGGCAGGGTCAACCAGGGGTTTGGACCGTCCCTCCCTTGCACAGGCCTGCTAGGGGGGAGGGGCCCTGGTGTGAGCCATCGTTATGCAGGTAAGTTCCAGGAGGAGTGGGGGGGAGGGAGAAGGGGGAGAGTGCTGCACTCCATGCCCAGGAGCAGGCAAGATTCCAGGCAGGGTCAACCAGGGGTTTGGACCGTCCCTCCCTTGCACAGGCCTGCTAGGGGGGAGGGGCCCTGGTGTGTGTGGTGTGTGTGTGTGGACAGAGGGCATCACGGGGGGAGGGGCCCAAGGGAGCACGCATTCACCCTGCCTTATCTGATGTATTCCCCTGTGTTTCTCTGTAGGTCGTCCATGCCATCAATGACGTTCTGCTCCCGAGAGTCATCCGCCTGTGCAACGTGGACGCTACGGTGGCCAGCTTCACTGCCCTTGGGTTCCCCAACTGCGGGGGAGTCCTGGATGCAACCCACATCGCTGTTCATGCTCCAGACCATTGAGCGGCCCATTTCGTCAACAGAAAGGGGTACTTCTCAATTGTACTCCAGGCCCTCGTGGACCACCGTGGCCGCTTCACGACATTTATGCAGGCTGGTCCGGCAGGGCACACGACGCCCACATTCTAAGGAATTCTGGTATGTTTGTAAGTCTGGAGGCGGGCACTTTCTTCCCCCAGCGGGACTTTACTGTCGGGGACGTGCCAATGCCCACATTGTGGGGGACGCGGCCTATCCCCTGCTGCCCTGGCTAATGCGGCCCTACACGGGGCAGCCGGACCACAACCAGGCCCAGTTCAACGACTGCCTCAACCATCCCCCCTTAATGTCCCCTTTTCTAAGCTGGAAAGTCTAAGTCTTTTTAATCTCTCTTCATATGGCACCCATTCCAAACCCCTAATCATTTTTGTGGCATTTTTCTGAAGCTTTTCCAATGCCAATATATCTTTTTTGAGATGAGGTGACTACATCTGTATGCAGTATTCAAGATGTGGGTGTACCATGGATTTATATAGAGGCAATAAGATATTATCTGACCTATTCTCTGTTCCTTTTTGGGACACAACATGCGGTGTGTGGGTCACACAGGGAGCCTGGAAGCCCCAGCTAGATCCAGGGTTCTCATGACTTCTAAGCTTCCTGTTTAGCAAGAAGGTGTTGTTTAGTGCCAACATTTTTAGGTCTTGAACATTTGACGAATTTTTTCAGAAATGCCTAAGTAATTTAGGAGTAATTTTCAAAGGACATTTAGGTACCTAAGGGATTGAATCTCACTGTAAGTCAATGGGACTTGGGCCTGGTTTTCAAAGGTAATTAGAAACCTTGTATTTCAATGGGAGTTAGGTACTTATCCAGCTCAAGGGCTTCTGAAAATTCAGCATTGCACCTTTCTGCATCTTTTGGCCTTGAGTGTGGAAATCATTTTTGAAAATGGGACTTTTTTTGAAAATTTTGCCTTTTGGCTCTGAGGAACATTATATAGTGAAGGAGAACTTCTGATGTGCCTCTGAGTCTTGGTCTACGTGGGGCAGTTGCATTGGTTTTATTTCAATTGTTTTTAAATTGATAATGAATAAGTAGATGAGCTATAGTTTATCTTCAAGTTTGACACAATCAACTCTGGATTAAACAAAGGCTGTGAATGGCTTGCTAACTACAAAAGCAGCTTTTCCTCTCTTGGAATTCACACCTCCAGATCAGCTACTAGAAGTGGGCCTCATCCTCCTTGATTGGATCTAACTCGTCATCACCAGCCTGATTCTGGCCTGCATATTTATATCTGCCTCTGGAAATTTCCACTACAGGCATCTGACAAAGTGGGTCTTTGCCCACGAAAGCTTATGCTCCTACACTTCAGTTAGTCTATAAGGTGCCACAGGACTCCTCGACACTTTTATTCATTATGCTAGCACAAGTAATATCAATAACTACTACAAGTAAAATATTTGCCTTACCACAAGCATAGAAAAAGGGAGATTTATTTCCAGCTGTGAAATCATTTGATGGCAAACCTTAGCAAAACTTTGCCCAAGTTCCTCCCTGGCATGAATGCAACTACACTGACTACAGTGGAATTGAGCCTGCTTATGTGATGGTTGCAATGTTGGCTGACACGCAGGTCATTGAATCGGGGGCCTCGAGAACTAAAAGCATAAACTGCTGAAGTTTGAAAGATCTGTAGCTGATGCGGGGCTGGTGACAGACTTCTCCAGGCCCTTGGCAATGTGAAGGGAACTTGTCTTTGAGTCTTCTAGAAGGGATGGGGCTAAGGGCAGCCAGCCCTCAGTGTTGTCCGGGCCATGGTGCATCTTTCCAGCCAGCCCTCAGTGTCGCCTGGATTGTACCCTACGGTGGTGATTTAAATGGCCTGGGGCTCCAGCTGGTGCTGTTGCCACAACAGTTGTGGTGGTAGCTTGGAACTTTTAAGTTGTCTTGGCCTGGGGCAAATGTCTCTTTTGCTGCCTCTTCTGGCAGCCCTGAGCTGAGAATTGTAGCATATTCTGTCCACTGTGGTTTGAATACAGAAGGGGAGCCATAACATACATTCACTGCTGTGTTGCACTTAAACAAGTAGTGAATCTGTCCTCTTGTCTTCACATTTTGTTGTGGGAAATATTGACTCTACCAAATCTACCAAAGGAATAATCGGGAAACTGACAAGAAAAAACAAACGATTGTGCGAAAAACACTTACCAATAAAGCAGCACAAATAGGACCATGGATAATGTACAGAAGATGAGTTTCAGAACTGATCCAGCAGCTGTAGAGAACAGAAAAAAGAATAAGTGTTTTGGTTTTTTATTAATGGCCATCTCTCTTTGTAAGGAAAATGTTATAGGTTTAGGAATGGAAACTGAGATTTTACTTACTTGTCATTGAAATACAAACTTCTAGCTACTGCGTGTATGCAGGCAGGGACCAAAGGGAATCCTGAGAACAGCAAATAATGTGTTTGTTCATAAATCAGCCTAATTCAAAGATTAATTATTGTTTTATCAAAAAAGGGAACTGTTAAACTGGCAATGAGTACATTTTAAGCATAATTAATGAATACATGTAACAAATCTCATTTCATCCTGCATGCCTCACTCAGGCACACTAATACCATTGATTACAGGTACTTTGTGATTTGAATGAAATTTCTCAGGTTAGGCCTGATGTAGCAAGCATCTGTATTGAAAAATCTAATCCTGAGTAGCAGCACAGCTCAATCCAGCAAAACACTAAAGCAAGAGAATCAACCCATTAACTTTGTAAAATGAAGCACATGCTTAAAGCTCTGCTGGATAAGGGCCTCGAGTGAGACAATAGATGGAAAATTTAAAATCAGACCGGGTAAGTTAAAGTAATGAAATTTTTCATCTATTGTTTGTGTTCTATTTGAAAATTAATGCTCACTTTTAGACATGTTTCCTTTTATTGGTGTAGTTCTGTGAAGAGGACTAGTCAACCCCCTTATAATTCATCAGGGTTTTTATACGTGCAGCAACATGAACAGCCATGCAATTATACTGGTTATGGCTTACTTGTTTTATGTGCGTTTTGCTGACTTCTAGTACAGTACATGGAAAGTAACAAGGCAACAAATATTTTCCTCATCTGTGGGAATCATATTTTTCACTTAAAGCATTTTACGTGCTGCCAAATTATATAGCAATATACACCAGAACATCATTTGCTCCAATGCTTGTTACATCATAGGGAAATGTAGCCCAGCATGTTGTACTATTAAGAAATTTGTAACTGTCTATTTGAACAGGACTTAGGTCAAATCATAAAACAAAAACATTTTAAAAAACTCCAACAGCACTGACATTTTCTGGACTGCGAGATATTTTAATGCTTAATGGGTTATAATTAAAAGTTCACAGTCTCAACAAGGTTAATTAACATGACTCTAGAATTATTTTAATTGAGCTAAGCATATATACTTGAGTATATAAAATAAATATACCTGAACACAGATTGAAAATATTTTACTGAATCCCTAAGACCCACATTTTGAAAAGTGGTTAGTGATTTTCTGTGCCCAACTTGAGACAACATAAAAGAGCCTGATTTTCAGAAACTGTTGAGCACCTATGGTCTCAAAATCAGGTCTCTTGAATGTATCTCAAGATGAACAACCAAAAATTGAAGAACACAATATCCCTAGTCACTTAAGGCATTTTTTCCTAAAAGCTTTGTGTAAATACAGTCAGAAGCCTGACTCCTAGCTTTTGTCAAAATGCTGTCCCACACTGCCTTAATCTGTCATGTTCAGGTTGTGGCCTTTGGTATTGTTTTTTTATGTAAGTTCTTTAAGTACAGTAGTTCTTTATTTGCTCTGTGAACAATTCAGGTCAAGCAGAGCTCCTGGAATAATAAATGCTTGACCTTTTCCAATTCAGTTTTGACCCTCCACACAAGGCATGGTGAGATGTCTCTGAAAATAAACATTCATTCCTGTATAAACATCTTCAAAGATGAGAAATAATGAATAATTACTTCTTCTTGTCCCATCATAATTAAACACACTATTCTCCCTGAAAAGGAGGAGCCACTTCCTGACTTCTCCTGTACATAATCTGTCTTTTAGCAAAGGCAGAAGGACACACAGAAAACTTTACTAAAGCAGTAAGGATACATTTACTTTCAGAGAAACAAAATTGATCCAATACACATTGCTGAAGTACTATCAGAAATAGTATGAGTATTACAGGTTTACTTAAAAATTATGGCTACTCTTATCCATTCCCCACCTCCAAAATCTTGATGCAGCAGTTGTTTGTTTGTTTATTTGTTTGTTTGTTTGTTTGTTTTTAAAGAGAACAACCAATGGAATTACATACCCCAGCCGAGAAGATAATACCACATCAAGTGTTGTTTCTCTGCAAAGACGGCTACCACAATGAGAGTATGCAAGTAAATGCCTTCACAGAGCATCCAGAAGTAATTGCAACCCATTAAATAAAGGTAAATGAATTGAGATATTTTGCAACTCACCTGTGAAAAAAACAGAGTACAGCTTGAATAATTAGGTTGCAATAGTTCCAGAGACATTCAGTGTCACTCTGCTTAATTAAAAATTTTACTTTGATATGTGTTAGTTATAATTCAATATTCATGGTGACATCTAGACAACCCCAAAGAGTAGACTGTAGTTTTTTAGCTGATTTGATTTTTTGGATGGATACTGAAGGCCTCCAGCACCAGGGAGATTATGGTGGACATAGGGACATCTTATAAAATGATGATGATGATTCCTCATATTACCAGCACTGATATGAATTCATTATTGCACATAAACAAAGATTCCTCAAAGCTTTTTTGAAGAGATGATGGTAAGTAACATCTTTGGGAAGAAGATCCTTTAATTAGGTCACATTCTCCTCTTAGTTATACCAGCAGCACCTACATGCACTCTCCCCAGTGAAGAGATTTACCTCTTTAATAGCTCTTAGGATGTTTAGACTTTTGTCTCAGCTGTCCCTACAAAAGTTCACACTATAGTCCATAATGAAACACAGCCGGTTCAATAGGGTCTAATTTTCCTCACTTGGTTTTGCACAGGTTAAACTAAGTCATACCAATGGGCAGGGATCGACAAATAGTGCAATGTACTCACCCGGGGCAAGTAGACTGCAACCTGGAAGAGCTGGGTTTGGGCAATCTGCGCATGCGCAGATCACTGGACAGTGCGGCTGGCAAGCGGGGCTCGCCACGGTTCGGCGAGCCCTGCGCATGACCTTATATACCAAAGGAATACAATGAAAAAAGTGAACACATTATTAAACTGACAAATCAGATTTAGTACAGAAGGTGGGGAGAGGGAGGGAAGGAATAGCTATTTATGAGTCAAAGAATGGCTAATCAGGGGTGATAAGTGAGGAAGCTAACTTTGTAATGGTTAAGGTAATAGGCAGATCCTGTAGGCCTCATTCCACGAGGCATAAAGGATCTGATGACAAAGGGTTCTGGGGTCAGCAGATCCCCGTCTAGACTGCCGCGCTGTGCTGACAAACAGCTGATTGGCACAGCGTGGTGACCATTTTTATTTAAATAAAGCGGTGATTATTTAAATTGCAGCTTCATTTCCCTATGTTGTCCTGCCTCATCTACATGGCTCCATCGATGAAGCATGTAGTCTAGATACACTCAATGTGAATGCTATAGAAAATCAGGCCCATGTACATTTATCCTGCTCTAACCTTACTTAGGTAAGTTCCCCAACACCAGTCTGAGGGTGCGTCTACACAGCACTGTTATTTCAGAATAACAATGTGAGCATCTACACAGCAATTCCATTATTTCAAAATAAATTTCAAAATAACAAATGGCTTAATCCAACTTCTGTAAACCTCATTTCACGAGGAATAATGCCTATTCCAAAATAGCTATTTTGGAATAGCAGTTGTGTGGATGCTCCACTGCTGCTATTTTGAAATAGCTCCTCCCAGAGCTATTTAAAGTAATTACTCCCCTGTGACTCCTAGGGCTCTAAATCAAGGTAGCACATCCACATTAGGGAAGCCTGCCTCAGCCTAATGTTGAGGCTTCCCTGTGGTGTAGACGTGCTATTTTGAAATAAGCTGTTTCAGAGTATTTCTTCCAGAATAGTTTATTTTGAAATAAGTATGCAGTGTAGATGTACTCTGGATCTGGATCATTCCACTAAAGACATTGGAGTTTCCCAGTGCATGTGAGTGACAGGAAAGACAGTCACTATCTATGAAATTATTTTTATTTAGTTCTGGAGCATGACCTTAAATTCTTTTGAAATAGTCAAGGCAAATTTCTAAATGTCTTAGTGACCATTACCTCTCCAGTCCACTAGAGGAAAATCCCTATCTAAGCTTGGATTTATGAGACTGATCAGAGTAATCATTCCCTTGAGAATCTAAGCTGGCAGCAGCACATGACAAAACTATATTAGCCTTCAAGTTAATCCCAGAAATACTGTATCTAAAACCACCTAGCAGAAAAATGGTATCTACTATGTGCCAACCAGTAAATTATCTAATTGTTACTGCTAAGGCGTAAAATGCAAGGCTAAAAAATTATGTACTTATCTATATTTAAATGAAAATATTTTGGGTACTGAAAATAACCAGGACTTTTCATGTAAGTGTTCAAAAACAAACAAGTGCTCCGCAGTCTAGTCCTCACTACATAAGCCTGGCTAATTGTCCTTCACTCCTCTGTGATTACGTTATTATCCAGTTTAGATAAGTGTCTAACTTTATCCAACTTTATAAAAAGGGATGCATGTGGGGGAATGAAAGCCACAAAGAAAGCAAACAACAGAGGTAAGTTTTGAACACAACTTCTTAACTCCCAACCCCAAAACAACTTAGTTCCTGGTACATCTTCATTTAAGTCATTCTTCCAGATCATACTTCTTTATTGAGATTGTTTTAGTATTGTGTAAGAATAAGAAAGAGCTATCTGCATGATACACAATACCAAACTGACACCAGAATTGTAGTTCAATACTATCTATTTAATAAAGGTCCTGGTGATTTTGAACTCCCCAGCCCTCACAAACCCTAGCTGGCTAAATTGACTGGACATGTGTTGCATTATTAATAAAATGAATACGTTCTTACTGCAATTCAAAAATTGTAGCTGCAATAGACATCCTGTGATAAACTAATAATATTTAATGTATTAGTCTTTTCCATCACTAAATTTCTTTCCACACAAATCAACTGTGCAGCCAAATCCATTTTCACTTACTGGATTAGTTGCAACTAACGGCTGGTTGTTGGCAACCGCTGTCAGCCAAATTATTGTAGTGATGGAGTTACAAGTAAAAGAGAAAAACAGATTTTTGTGTAGGGTGATCCTTTGGCAACTCAAGCTCCTAGAAAAAAAAGAGAAGAGCAAATTAATACATATGAGTCCTTAGCCTCATATTAACTCTTCTACCAATGCATTTTTAAAATAATGAATTCAATATGGTGAAAGATAAAGATTTTCTCTCTCCTTGATTTTATATTTCTGTGGCTGTATAATGCAAATCAAGTGCAATAGATTTTATTATACTTATAAGAAAAGAACTTTGGAACAGTTAGCTAAAAAGGGTCTGGAAAATATGTTTACTTGTTATTGCAAGGTGATTTTTTTATTCCATGCCAAATTATTTTTAAAAGTGTACGGCCTCCAATTTTTTTCCTACACAGAAATATAACAGTCACTGAAGTATTAGTTTCTCTAATCCAGTATTCTTGTTCAAAGTCACAACAAATCCATCCTTTGGCACAGACAGGAACAGAACCTAGGCCTGCCTCTCTCTCTCTCTGTCTCTCAATCAGAACAAGGTGCTGTGTGAGGGTGAAAAGGGACAGAATCACCACAAGAAGAATCTGCACCCCTTGTACTTAGGATCTCTAATTTGAACTACCTACTCCATGCCGCGTGTAGCCACGGGCACGGAGTTTGGACTAAGGGAGATTTAAAAATGGCGGCGCCCGGGAAGATGCAAATGAAGCCCGGGATATTTAAATCGAACTAGGGGGCTAGTATAGACATACCCCAAGTGTGGTAATAGAGTACAGCTGCTGCATGTTCAGTTAGCATGGGTACAAATAGCAGAGTAGACCACCGTGAGAATAATTTTTGATAAGGGGGCATTTCATGAATTCAGTGATTGCTCATAGGCCGCACTTATCTGGAATATTAATGGAGGGAGTGTGGGGTCTGAGGTGGAAGTTGGGTACAGAAGGGAGGTTGGGATAGGAGTTTGGAGTGCAGGACGGGGAGCCGTGTCTGGGAGGGCATTGGGTGTGGAAGGGGGTTGTGACCTAGGGCGGGGGTTTGATTGTGGGAGGGGATGGGAGAGGTGCCTGGTGCAGACTCTGGCAGGGAGGTACTTACCATGGGCAGCTCTGAGCTGGTTCCCTGTCTGCCATGGCCCCACAAGCTCCTCAAAGTGCCTGGTTGCTGTGGCCAGCATGTGTCTCCACGTGGCACATACCTCGGGAGAAGAGGGGACTGCCCCTGCAATTCCAATTGGCTGGTTTCTGGCAAATGGGAGTGGCAAAGTTTGTGCTGTGGGTGGAAGCTGCACATGACACCTGCCCCCCCAAGGGGTACGCTGCACAGAGGCGTAAATACTGGCCCCAGCAGTTGGCTGCTTTTAATGGCATGTGGGGCTGATGCAGACAGGGTACCTGCCCAAGGGTCCCACTGGGCCGCAACGGGCTGGATCCAGCCCATTGGCCGTATTTTGCAAATCCCTTCTGTAGACAGGGAGGCACAGTATAGGTGAATAAAATTGAGTAGAATGCCCTACATGCCTGACACCTGCGGTATATACATTACATGTCTCTCTATCATACCTCTATGTTCTATGCTGCTATTTTTAGCAGTGTAGTGGCTTGCTGCCAGGACCTTTCGCCACTGCAGGAAAAGGTTCCTTCAGTAGGAAAAGGCTCTAGGAAGGTAGAGGCAGCAGAGGAAGGCTCTGACATCTCCCTGCTGGAGGCTTTTATTACTCTCTGTGTGTTGCTACAGAGCACAGTGGGCATAGCCTGCTTTTCATTGTGGTGCGTACCTACATGCCACTTCAAGTGACCACAAAGTGTAAGTCATTAAGGACCACACCGTGGAGCCTTTGTTCAAGCTGACTACCACTGACTTCCACATGAAGTTTCAATGAAGGCAAACTGGAGGAGCAAGCAGCTAATTCACATGAGGAAGAAAGATAGAATCTGGGCCCAATGATTGTCAAACATTAATCACGTGGGGAAAAAAAGATACAACTCACAGAATGCAGTTATAAATATGAATTAAGGGGTGAATTATATTCAATTAGGCCTTGTCTAGATATAATTCTGTTTTTGTTCTGTGGTTTTAATTCATGCAGGTTTGACTATGGATGCACATAGAAATGATGCCAGACTAGTACTAATAGTTTTATGCAAAAATGAGTCATGAGCAACTCCGGGATTCTGTATCTGCTTATTGTCAAGACCTCAATGCACAGGCAAGGCAAAACACATACAACTTATGAGGCCATCTGTCAGGGATAATTCTGTTTTTGTTCTGTGGTTTTAATTCATGCAGGTTTGACTATGGATGCACATAGAAATGATGCCAGACTAGTACTAATAGTTTTATGCAAAAATGAGTCATGAGCAACTCCGGGATTCTGTATCTGCTTATTGTCAAGACCTCAATGCACAGGCAAGGCAAAACACATACAACTTATGAGGCCATCTGTCAGGGT